AGACCAACTAGATATGTGCAAAAAAGTATCACAGTGAAAATGCATAAAACAAAAGGTTTTCGGTTAGTGTCTCTCAAGTGAAAGAGAGATTTCCTTCTATAAGTGCTGTCTATGGGATGAAATTCAGGAAGTGTGGCAATGCTTAGTGTTGCTGTGCCTAACTCTTTGGCACCTTGCTTCTGGAGTGGAGTTAATGAGCATGAGTTAGGCACCAAATTCCCTATAAAATGCCAGGAAAAAACTGAGCTAAAAAGTAATGCTGGAGAGAGGGTGCTTGAAATCCTACCTTTCTCTGCAGCCAAGTGACTGTCTAATGTAAATAGAATGCACAGTCTTGGAGCCACAGACCATAGTCTAGCACTTTTTCCCTAACAGGGGAGTGCCATCATCTCTGAGCTGCTCCTACTTTCTCCTTATCCTTTTTATCCCAGGAATCTTGCACTGTTGGCTGTCTAGAGGGCCAGCTTCAACAGGATGGATGGCATCCAAAGCCCTTAGCCTTAGTAAGGGCTTAGTAAGGGCTCTCTCAAGTGGGAGTTATGGGTGTAGAAGGGTAAGAAGGTCCTAAAACCCAGGTCTCTGGCTTCTTGGTACCCTTACTACAGGATATTGGGCAAGAGGTAGGCACTGTCACTGGTTATTTTGGAGGGCTTCAGTTTTATGCTAAACTCAATGGTGCTGTCATTGGGGATCCTTAGTTCTACCTATGCTCCACTTTCAGTACCAAAGTGCTTTTTAGATCTTCAGTCATATACACAAACATGAACGAGAAGTGCTGGCTATGTGAAAGGAAGCTTGCTTAGCTGAAGAGTGCTTTACAGTTCACTGCACCATAGTGTAACCTTGCCAGCCTCAGGAATTTTTTTTGAGAGTTTCAGTTGTTGTTTTTTTTTCCTGCAGACTGGCCAGAATAAGAGTAAGACATTGAACGGATGAGTTCTGCTGGTAAGAACTGCAATCACACCATGACAGCCGGAGAGGCAGAAGCTGGGGAATTAGTTCTGGAGCCCCTGGTCACTTGCAAGCTATGTCTCTGTGAATATTCTCTTGATAAGATGACCACACTTCAGGAATGCAGCTGCATCTTTTGTACAGCGGTAAGCATCAGCAGCATCTTAATCAAGGTTTCAGGATAGAGCAGTGGTTCTCAACCTATTTGGGCTCGAGGCACACTCCTTGGGCTCAAGGCCCCCCTCCATAACTTCTGTGAATTGAGTGGCTCCTGATTTCAAAAACTAATTTTATATATTATAGCACTTACCTCTTTGCAGAGGGGGCAGGCAGTGGCAGTGGGAGACTGGCCAGGCTGAGACAAGCCTGAGCCTGGCATATCTGCTTACCTCCTCTCACTTTGCAGCACCTTTCAGACGATTTTGCAGCACCTCGGGGTGCCCCAGCACTCCGGGTGAGGATCATTGGGATCAGTCACAGAAGGTGGAGACGGGAAAGATCTTTTATAGTGTTTATAGTAGGAATCAAGCACTAATATCATATTCTCCTTTCCAGTCCCACACAAAATCCAGCACCCTAGAATTCCAACAAAAATACTCCCATAGCCACATTTTTATCAATTGAATTGCTTTCACTTTTACCTAATACATTGATAATTGATATATTTTAAATAAATTGAATAATAAACTACAGTAGAATACCATCTATCAAAAAAGAATAGTGGAGCATGTAAACAGCTTATATTCAATATACTTTATTATTTTTCCTTAGGAAAACTCTTAAATAAAATAGGATTGCTATAGGGTGTTTGAAGCAGCATTTTATAAAAACTCTTCCCCACAAAGCTTTTACAGATAGTCTAAAGGACACAAGCCTCAGGTGCATTACATACTGCAGAGATGCTCTTTTTGAGAATGGCCTTAGAAACCAAATTATGGTTTTAAATACCATAAATGTAATGTTGTTTGTGGAATTTCTTTAGCACTTTTTCATATATTCTTCTCTGCAAATTCACTGAATCTCATTTTGTAGCAATTCTGTTTAGATAATCTCCAAATCTTTGTTCAATCACTTCAGGTGAGGCAAATCAGCATAGCTACATTGAGCTCATGAAGCCATGACAATTTACACCCAAGGGGAATTGGACCTTAGTCCCTGCATTCATACACTTTGCAGACTATCCACATACCTCTCTCACCCATTCCAGTAGGCTATAACATGTTTGAACCTGGTGTTTTTTGCCTTTATATTGCTCACTTGTTTCTCTCCCACGTTTTTCATGGCTTGCTTGTCATGGAAGGGATGGGCAAAAATGATATTTTTTCCCCTTTTCCTCTTGGTTAAACTTTCTCTCAATTAGCAGAAATTGCAGAAGTACAGCTGTTTGTGACATTGTATGAGTCAGGTGGCTGAGGGCTGTGTCCTTGATTGCAAATAATTCTGCCTTCTTTCATGCTGTTTCTGTTGACTCTCTTCCTGACACTTACTGAGATTGAAGGCTGTCAGCATGGCTGTATTAGCCATCTGTGGAAGCCAGCTATGATACAGTTCCTAATACCTTTTCATTCTGTACACCTTATCCAGTATCCTAATCATTGTTCCACACAATGTTAGTGGGCCCTCACAGTGGTGTATTGTATATAAAACCAGGAGCACAAACTAGTCCTTAGCTATTTCTTCCTCTTTAAAATAGGCACAGAATGTCTCTAAGGGTGCGTCTGTTCTGCTTCTGTGGTAATCATGAGACAACTGCTAAGAAATGAGCCCTGCCTACTTGCTCCTGCTCTGTATGAGCTGCATGCTGAAAATATGCCATGCAGTTGCTATTAAAATAGTGCTAAGAGTGATCAGTACAGCTCTCGGGAGCATAGCTGAGATTGAAATCCTCAGAGCACTGCTGATCATCATACACCAAAAAATGACTATGTGACTTGTTTCAGCAAGCAGCGTGTGCTGAGTGGGCAGGTCTTGACTGTGCTGAGGATCTTTAGGAAGGCAGCATAAAAGTACCTGAAAGCATTTTCATAGGATGCAATTCAAAGGGATTTTTGCTGCTAATCATAGCACTTGGATTGTTAATCACCCGCCTTTGAGAAGATTATTTCCTTCTGGGATGAATGTCCGTGTTGTGTTTCTGAGAGGTACAGCATAGAACTCAAGGCCTAGACAAAAAGTTAGCTTTAAACCACCTGTATGTCCTTCTGATATTGGGATGTTATGGAGGCCAAAATGGCTTTTGGGTGGTTGTATGAGTTACAGCAGCTTGTCTCCAGCTGCCTTTTGGCAGCAATACATATTGCTATGTGTGGTATATGGTTATGGGGCTGGAGCACATGACATATGAGGAGAGGCTGAGGGAACTGGGCTTAGTTATTCTGGAGAAGAGAAGACTAAGAGGGAATTTAATAGCAGCCTTCAACTACATGATGGGTGGTTACAAAGAGGATGGAGCTAGACTGTTCTCTGTGGTACCAGATGACAGGACAAAAAGCATGGTCTTAAGTTGCAGCAAGGTAAGTTTAGGTAAGATATTAGGAGAAGTTTTCTCACTGGGAGGTTAGTAACTAACTGGAACAGGTTACTGGGAGAGACTGTGGAATCTCCATCCTTAGAAGTTTTTAAGACCCAGCTAGACCAAGCCTTGGCTGGGATGATCTTGTTCGGGCTGGTCCTGCTTTGAGCAGGGGGTTGGATTAAATGACCTCCTGAGGTCCCTTCCAACCCTAATTGTCTATGATTCTATGTTGTGACACCATTTTGATATATCCTTGCACCCCTGAACATCCCTTCTGTCAGGCACTGTAAGGGAGAGTTGGGGGAGGCTCATAGGAAAACCTGAAGCTGTTTTAGTTCCTGTGCTGGTATAATTCCCCTCCTCCTTTTTTAGATCCTTGCATTGCCTGGAACTCTCTTTACCTGCATAAAGGGACTGGAGTTGGGGTGAGACTCTCAGCATTAATATCTTGAATCATGATATCTTTGTCTTTGGGACACTGAGTCTTTAAAAAAAAGTCTAGTTTGGTTTTTCATAACTAGGGTTAACAATATACAGCCCACATTACTCCTGAAGTAGCAAGAAAACTCCATATGGAGAAAATGTATCCTATGCTAAGGAGTGATTATATTTTTCTTTCCTTTTACATACCTGTTATTTTTCAGCTGACACTAACTTTGGTTTGCTCACTCAGAACTTTTCAGCTAAACATTAGTTTCTACCAAAGCATTACCAACTTGGAGGGTGGGGGGAATGGAAATGTACTTAGTTGTGCATCCAAGCTTATGTTTTTACCTATCATTTGTGGTCTATAAAACACAAATTTAATGGGTTAGTACTGTGTACTGGTATACTTCCAGCTTAGACTGATGCAATAAACATTACCCCTTGTAAAACCTGTACTGCAGCCAAAGTAAGTAAATTGCATTTCAGTGTGTATTTGCATTTGAGAGGAATGTTGCTATTTCAACTGGAAATTTCGTCTAGAAATAAGCCTTTTACTTGAGCTGTTTAAAGGAAAAAAAGTGAAAATCGGATGAAACGGTGCATTTGTACATAGAGTTTGTTTTGCTCTCTCTTTGGAACTCTTCTTGAAGTCAAACAAGAGAACTTCTACCAAATTGTGGATAATACTTCTTACTTTTGAAGTGAGATTACAGTAAAAAGTCAAGAGCTCAAGCCCAAATTAACCATTGCCTGAAGCTTCTTGAGGTATGTAGAAATAGGTGATGGCTTGGCTTGGTGAGTTTGTTTTTAAGTTTCAAATGAGAATATGTAAGAGTCCCACAACAAACTGTATCTGAATTATTATAAATAGCATATTAGAGGACTACACAAAGGTGTAGTGTGGTTTAAAAGGTTTATCAGCATAAGTTTGGGATGCCTACAAGTGCCAATATAATCTTTAGAGTAAAACCTGTGTGCTGTGCTATAACAGCCATGTATGCTATAGGAAAAACTGTAGCATAACTGTGCTCAAAAAGAAGTCACCAAGAATCCAATTGCACTGAGCTTGGAGGAGCTGTAGAAGCCTTTAAAAATTAGCAGTTCTGGATCTAAAAATGTTAGCTGTTTTACACCCAAGAGACTAGATTGATCTTAAGACCTAGGAATGAATACTAGGGCTAGATGTATATAGTGTCTCAGCCTATTCTGGAAGGGTCTTACAGCAGATAGGGCCCTGACAGCCGGGGCAGGGAAGGTGCTTCACTGGAAGAGGAGCTGTGTCAGTTTGACCTGGCTTGCCTAACATCTGTGTAGATAGCGTGCTTTAGCAGGGCGCTTTGGTGCTTGATTCGGCTATTAGATAAAAGCACCAAAAAACCCCACTGAAGCTTGCTATCTATACAGATGTTGGGTGAGCTAGGTCAAACTGATGTGGCTCCACTTCTGAGCATGCACTGAAGGGAGTTTGGGGGAGGAGTTTACATCTGCCAGCAGCCTAAGTGCCAGCTCCTCTTCCTATCCTCTCTTTTCTACTTGTTCTCAAAAAGTTTGACCCCAATTTCCCCCATATGGGATGAAACTTTTGACTGGGCAGTAGACATAGAGGGCTATAGGTGGTTTAGAAGAGATAGGAAGGGGAAAAAAAGGGTGGGGGGTAGCGCTGTATGTTAGGGAACAGTATACTAGTTCTGCCTTCCAAATGGGACCAGAGGAAAGCTTAACTGAGACCCT